GGGGCTCCTGTAAGACCGAATTGGGCGGCGGTAGCTGCTCCGAGAGGGAGAGCGCGCGGCTGAAGACGGGGCCCAGGAACGTTTCAGCTCAGGGTCAGGGATAGGAGACCTGCCCCTGTCTCAGCCAAGCCCAGTGTCTCTGGCAAGCCTGGTTGGCCGGCACTCGATTCATTCACGGTCAGAATTATTTATGGTTGCCAGGAGGCAGCCTCTGAGTGCAGGGCCCAGAAGGGAATGCGTGGTGGTCAGCGTGGGCTGCAGGTCAGACCGAAGGAGGGACTTCCCCCAGGGGGCAGTGGGTCAGGTGCTGGGCCTGGAGCACAACTCAGACCTCTGGCTGCTGACAGCTGGTCAGCAGAACACAGAAGTGGGAGTGTCCAGGGAGGCTCGGTGGCAGCCTGCCCGCTTCCAGGCCGTTTTGTCGTCAAGGCTCTGATGAGGTGCCAGCTGTCCTGCGTGCACCTCCAGCCTCTGCACACTGCGTTCCTGGTCTGGAATGTTCCCTGCTGTTCACCCGATGAAGTCCTCCCACCACCCTTTCACCCTGAACTCAGCTCCGTGGAGCTGCCCCAGCCCACCTGGGCCCCGGCAGCAATTATCACTCCTCCCCAAGCGCCCAGAACCCCAGGAGGCACTAGAGACCTGGTTGAATTTACCAGACTCTCCGTGTTGCCTCCTCCCCATGGTGTGAGCTCCTAGAGAGCAGGGATCTGGCCCTGAGGATGGTGGCCGCCCCGGGCTGGTAGAGCCTGGCACCCGGCCCCCTGGGTGGGGGCGTCCATAGGTGGGCGGAAGGGTGGCGGGGTCCATGGTGACTGGCTGCAGAGGCCGCTCAGCAGCAGTAAGAGTGAGCTCTGGAGCCAGGGCTCCAGGTTCGGATCCTGCCTCTGCCCATCTCAAGCTGGGGAGTTCAGGGCCAGTGACCCCTCGCCTCTGTGCCTCAGGCGTCCCACCTGCAAAGTGGGAGAATAATAGAAGCCAGAGGGAGTTGGAAGGATTCTATGAGTTCATACACGGAAAGGCTTAAAGCAGAGCCCAGGACAGGGTCAGTGTTCAATGAATGTTGGCCAGCAGCTATGGTCACGGGTGTGGAGGACGGACTGGTGGGCAAGTGGGCAGACGAGGGGCTGTAGCTGAGAACGGGCAGACCCTTCTCTGCCCACTCGGCCAGGTGGCCATTTGCCGACCTGCTCACAGGAGGCCCGCAAGGTCTTTCTATGAACCTAAGGCTCGCCGGCCTGCTGTGCACCCCCACTGGGTGGGGGTATCTGATTAAGGGGTAGCGGTCCCAGCTCTTACAGTCAAAGGGGTCGGTCTGTGTTTCCTGAGAGAACCATACCTGTCTGTCTGTCTCCATATCTCTCTCTCTCTCTCTCTCTCTCTCTCTCTCACACACACACACACACACACACACACACAGATTCGCGTGGGAGGAAACAGCTCACCAGGCAGCCTGATGGTTTCTTTTCCTCCTGAAGGACAGACAGAGAGAACGTCCAGGGTCAGCCAGAAGCTTCCATGGAGTGGGTGGGAAGACAGCCTGGCTGGAGGGTGAGAGGAACAGAGAGAGAGGACGCTCCCGATGGGAGGACCTGCATGTGCAGAGGCGAGGAGGCAGCAAGGCAGGGTTGAGGTCAGGGAGACAGACAGGAGCCAACAGTTGGTGACAGAGGACAGAGAGGCAGCCTGGGCCGACCACAAAGGACTTTGCTCCCTGAGCTCAGCCTGGCCTGGTCGGGAGCAGCCCCTTTGCATGCCCGTCCCGTTGACAAGCCTCGTCGCCAGCCCATTTTCCAGGTGAGGATGTGGAAGCTCAGATGCTCTGCCTCTTGCCCAAGGCCACGCGGCAGAGCTGGAACCAGAAGTGGCAAGGGTCTGGGTTCTAGAGTCACAGATTTTTCTGGGGCTCCCTGAGGTGCCTGGCCCTGAGGGCAGAGGCCTGGGCCAGTCAAAATTCAACTGGTGGGAGGAGAGCTGGCAGCCGGGAGGCGGGGAGGGGGAGGGCAGGGCCCAGGGACAGCACCCCTCAGGCCTGCGGTGGCCGGAGCGCCCACGCAGAGCAAGGTCAGGGAAGCTGCTCGATGGACACACAGGCTTCCACT